CGCACATAGAAAGTGACACGATGCTCCCTTTGCTGGCCAGGGCTGAATGTGCCACAACTGCCGGTCTCTAATATGAGTGCGAAAGTGCGACTCCACAATGGTACTTTTAGTTTCATATTCTTACCTTCCCTCCCTGTGTAAACCTATTTGACTTAACTCTAAACAGTATCACCTGAAGTAAACCCCTGGTAATGTTGCTCGCTGGGGCAGCTGTCCGAATCTAGAGAAGGTAAACGAATCATCATAACCCACGAAAAAAAAATATTCACGTCGTAGCACCAGAGGAAGTCCCAAATCCTACTGGTGTATGAATCTGGACGCACGTTAGGCGAAAGCCCGTTTTCGTCCTAGAAACCTGACTTGACTTGACTTGACTTGACTCATCAAGGTGTGAACAGATTGCGCTCGTAGTTACCTTTGTCAACCCCGTTTGCAACCAAGCAGAGTGATGCTAACTAACTGCCTGAATCAAGCGTCTGACCGAAGGACCGATACACAATGTTCCACAGGAATAAGTGAAGAAGTAAACACAGAATGAGATCGTAGAAACAGGAACTTAAACTTTCAGTGGCAACCCGGTGGCTGGTCTGGATGCAAATGTGGCACGCAATTTCCATGCATGGTGAGTCTGAATGATCGCTGTTGTCAACGTTGGAGGAAGTACTTCTGTCATTGTGTCACCTGTAACGAGCACAGGTTTCTTTCCAACCCAAACAGTTCTCCCCTCGTTTTCTAGTGTTGTAAAATGCTGGCAATTTCTATATTCTTTCAAGTTCATTAATTAGTTATCGTCAAGTTGCGTAAGTAGTATCTCGCCTTCCCGTGTTTTAATCGATTTAAATAAACTGCAGTGTATTAGCCAATGTAGATGAACCACTGAAAGCATGTTTTTCGCTACATTGTTTTCTATTCAGAATGTCCCTTATCTATTAGCCCGCACATTTATCCAGTTTTACTGTTCGTGTGGCTTTCGATGACTGCACGCAGTGGCCAACTGTTGCGTGGTAGCTTCCCATCAGCTAACAGGACAACGTCTCCGGCTTAAGCGACCGTTCTCTTTACATCCACATCTGTTGGGTTTGTGGGGTCACCAAATATTCTCGGGTTGAACGCTTTCATCCCGAGGCATAGCAGCCACTAATGATTCTGGCATTCCCAATCCTGTTTGGAACCTGAGTTGCAGCAGGTAACTGGATATCAGCGCCAGTCCTTGCAGCTGATTGCTGGAGACAGGTTAGAGCGGTCGGTTGCTGAGTATTATTTATGCCTCAACCAAGAATGCATTCAATATCTCGTCGTCGGGTGTCCGTTTTTCATGTAATCCTGTCAGTATCCTCCGTACCGATCGGTTGAGACACTTCCACACTACCCTGCGGTGACTGCAGGAGGGTAGGTTGAAGTGCCATCGGGTCCCAACAGGCGACAACCGATCTCGAACAGTGCATTTATTCAACTGCCAGTTGCCTAACTAGTTTTGTGCACTGACAAAGTTGGATCCGCAGTCTGAGAACACATTCGATGGGTTGCCTCAACTAACCACGAATCATTGCCAGGATATAAGGAATGAGTCGGTGTCCATGCTGAAGACAGTCTCTTCCGGATTCAGGAAACAGGTCATTGTAACAACCAAACCGCGATTGTCCTGGTCTGAGTGAAACGAAAAAGATCTCGTCTGTATGTGTTCAATCAAATGACGCTTTGCTCGTTCTGGATGGCGATAACGAAGTCTCAGAGCAACGCGTAGCCCAAGAGAGAACCAAGTCGATCTAAAAATAATCTACGGTACTATTTTCACATTAATCAACAAATATATGAGGCAGTCATACCTCTGATAGTGAACCTGATGTATTGATCGATCTGTGAAAATCCTTCCTGTAAAGCCTGGTCATTCCATCTCGGTTCCACATCTCGTGAATTTTACGTTCCATTCACCAAACACCATCCACCTCAAATACATATAAACATTTGACGTTCCACTCCTTTGTATACTTACACATCAATCCTACCATTTGACTTAAATTGTTTATCTGCTTTAATTTTTACCCTATTTGTTTTAATCGCGACTTGAGCGCTCACATTTGGCTCATTCATGTGCAGCGTGACGGCGAGCGAGCTATTCTTACCCCGGCTCATTTTCTTCCATTCAGATTTGTCGAATTACGCTCACAGTAACACTTGGCTCTTGTTTTCACGGATTTTCGTGGCTAGTGCCGCGCTAACGACCTGGTACCTTCGGAAGCTCTCATTAGTAAGTTTGCGATAGTAAATTCCTGGTGCATTTTTATGGTG